AAAAATAATTGCAACTGTTTGTCTGCTTACAAAATCCTTACCAACTAAGAACAGTTCCAGACACAAGTTTATATTTTTCATTTCTTTGACTCACTAGTCAATACTTTGTATGCTACAGCATACAGCAGCCAAATTTTACAGCAGCTGCGGGCCATTTAAGTACATACAGCATCTAGCTAAGAAATACCATGGGAATTATGACAATTTCTTGTTGTAATCTTTGCTATATTCCTCTTCTATTTCCCCTACAACTAAGCATACAGATGGTAAAGCATGACTTCAAATATATCAAATACTGTTTGACTTCACTAATTCCACTAATTCATCTTCTCTATAATAATGAGCACACTAAAAGCTGAATAAAAAGCAGTGTGCAGTAATAAAAGCAAAGAATAGAAACATGAAAACATACACAATACTTCATTAGCCAACTTGCATATTCTTGCATACAAGAAAAGCTCCTGCTGGAACACAACTCCTGGGTTCCTCTCCCAATTCAAGTTCCAAAACTTTGCTTATCCTCTTTTAAATTCAATTGAGCACTCAAATTTTGAGCTTGATGAGTAAGGTCTATTATTCAAGTACATGTACCCAATAAGTATGGTTTATAGAAGAACTCATAATAGCTTCTACATTTCTGGTATAATTTATGAAGTTGGTACTTTGTAGTCAGAAAGGAACTGAAAATGTTTCAAGCGGCTGAAAGGAAGAAACATCTGTTTCTGAAGCTTGCCATTTTCGTGCAAAAACATATAGCGCAGAATGTTAACAGTTAAAATACAAATGAACAAATGGTATCTGTCCTACATGCCTAAAGTACTGCTATACCCTCTATTTGCAAACATGTATTATTACTTTTTATCAAGCACAAAACATAAAAAAAAATTTTTGGAAGCTGTTGGAAGTTGTTGAAAACTTAAGATTTTTGTTTCCAATGCTCTTCAAAATTCATACTGTAACTTTAAAAATCCATTTGTTTTTTCCAGCAATTTACAAGGAAAAAAAGAAAAAGATTATAATCTTCAAGGCTGTGACATCTTACTGGAAAAGTTGTCACCATTAAAATTACAATAGTCTGACTTGATTTCTGATTCTTCTGATGATAGATATGGGTTTATTAGCTTCAGACACCAATGCAAATCCACAGCTAATGTACTGTATAATTAAATGATGCTTTTCCATAAACGCATACACTAAGAAAAAAAAAAAAAAGCGCTACAGTTGTCTGAAAACTTTGTTTAAATGACATGATTTATAATACCTCTGCAGGATTCTTACTCAACCTTTCACTTGTAATATATAGGAGCAGAGGGGAAGAGCGTTCCTTGCCAACTGGCAAACTAATAGCACTGCAACAGCTAACAGGGGTGATCATTTTTCTTTTAGCTTGAAGTTTTTAGAAGCATCTTGTTTCTTCCACAGGAAAAAAAATACAAACTATAATATTACAAATAGAAATAAATGCCCATAAACCAGAAAGAGTTACAAATGAAACTCCTCCCTCTCTCCACCCAAGCTATTCTACCTACCTCAAAGCATAACCAGAGTCTTCTTCAAAACCACCACTGTCCATATTAGTCAGATATCCTCTTCCTCCTCTGCCCAGTTATCTGGGTCTACTTGAGAAGGAACAAATAATCTCTGGTTTTGTACCCTTTCAAATGAGCTTCTTGCCAGAAAAGCTAAGGGTTTCAGTCATTTATTTGCAAGTGTAGCAGATACTCTGTAGAAAATGTACAAGAGACATGACACTGCCCTTTAAACCTTCCAATCTAATTCTGGGTTTAGATTAATAATAATAATTAGAAAGGATAAGAACCGCAGTATAAGACCAAGGGCTTACTCTGTTCAACTTCAAAGTATGCAGCTACAGCAACAAATCAATAAATTTTAGAGTGGTAGTATTTCCTAAGTCTATCATCAGAAAAAACCCTCTCAATTTGAGGGAAAAAAAATGGATTGCTTGTTATAGTCAGATTACAGAAGTTTAAATACTTGATGCAAATGAGAGCAAGACTAATTCTTGCAATAGAAGGAATTGTGTTTACATTTAATTTCCAGGTATCTGTAACAAGATGTTGACCACCCTGTTTCCAAGCATCAAGTTTTATGTTAGTTTTGTGTTTTGTTGTTTGTTTTTTTTAAAGGGCTGTAGCATTTTCCAAGGGTTTCATGCTTACCCGATATAAGCAAGCAACAAACTAAGTGCATTTGATGACATTTTCAACAGTATTTACTATTAATTTCTGGCACTGTGAGCAAAATGTTTCCACTGCAACTGGTTTACTCTCCTTTTAATTAAAAGGTAGACTGCATAGTTAATATATAAAAAATAATTAGGATATTAATTACACTCAGTGCAGCAATATTTAATCTCTCATGTCATAACCATACAGCGAGACAATTTTAAAACATGTTGTAGCAAGAGCATAAACTGTTTTAGGTGTTGAAAGACATTCAGGCTTAGACTTACAAAAGCATTTATGCGCAGGAACATAAATTCCCTATGGATAATCCTTTAGACAGCCAAGCTTGCACCCCTATATTTCCCTATCTCTGCAGGGATGAGAACTCAGACCCACATCCCATCATCCCACTAACATGCTCGGCCTCTGGCCTTGTGAATGTCTCGGCAGCAGCACAAATTCAAAGAGAGGTTTACAGTGCATCTCTCCCACCCAACCCCTTCCTCTCCATTCCAAAGCCCAGATGGTCAGCACAGCACTGTGGGTGTTATGAAACGTGGACTTTATTTCTCTATGGTTATGGACAGACCATTACCCAAGTCCCAGCATTCAGCATGAGATCATCATGATCTTTACTGAGAAAGCTGACTTGTCCCAATTCAATTTCTCAGATCATCAACTCTTCTGGCTACAGCTGCAATTCTGCTTTGGTAGATAACTGTGCAATTACAAAAAGGATATACATACACAAGAATTAAATGGTTGGCTGAATCAGTTCTGTGTGTGCTTGGCCTGGGCTATTTTATTGTGTCATTCCAGCTTCAGGAAATCCTTTAACCATACAAAAGGCTTTTTTAAACACTGCCACGACAGTATAGTGGAAGTGCCTAGCTCCATCACCTCCTCACCTGGTTGAATCCAAGGTGAGCCTATATATCCTCTGAGTCACTCTGTAAGAAGTTAACCTGAATACAAGAGCTAACAGGTAAGCTACTGGCACTGTTCAATTACTTGCACATGGGTTTTTTTCCTGCTGAGTTCTTGAAAATGTCCTGTATAGTATATATGTTGGAATAAGCATACTGCTCAATGAAACAAATTAGCTACTCCCTATATAACATTTTAAAGAACTTACCAAATTTGGTGTGGGAACACGCAATTCAAAAAACTGATACCTAGACGTTAAATGCAGGAATTCTCACAGTAAACCTCCATACATTAATTTTATAGATGCTACTCATGTAATTAGCATATAGACAATCATCTAGGAATTTAGTATCTGTATAGTTTCACAGATATTTTCATTCTACAGTGAAAACTGAGGCATACTATATAATCAACAAGTCCTTTCAAAAGACAATGTCTTTACTATCTCAGTACATGATACTTTTCACTGTCTAAAGCACATCAATAAATTATGTTGAATTACACAAATGAGATACTTAACACCCATAACAGTGAAAAGGACAGTCATTTCCACAGATATTTGGAGTGCCCTACTGCTAGAAAAGAAGTGCTTGCAGGTTATGATTCTTTGCTAAGGAGGCAGCATATTAAATTGGCTTTTATCTTGAGGTTCATGTGTGGCATTGAGTGCAACAAAGAAAAGTTAGTAGAATTTCTGTTCAGGGCATCATTCAGTGACACATCTCTTTTAATCACATTTTCTAAACAGTTCTATGAGCCTAACTTACTACACTGTCATCATATGAAATTTCTTAAGAAAAATGAAAACCCTTTTAAAATTCAATTCCTTTAACAACAGACTGCTTCTTTAATACCACCAAGAGAGCACTGTGATAGTACAGACACTAAAAGAAGTCATAATATTTTAAGAGGACTTTCTTCAGATAAAGATGCAAAATACCATTACTTAAGACATTCTCCCACTTCAAATTAAACTGGAAGCAATGACATACATACAAGCTAACCCAAACATCTCTTTAGTATGTTAAGAAAAAAATCAGCAGCTCAGTTTTAATAACACCATCACTAAAAGCTGTAAGTGCACCATTATAAGTGAACACCTCCACTCCAAAAGAGTGAGCTGTAACAAAACGTATATGCAGGTAGAGATGTGGCTGAGCTGGTTCAGTTCCAGCTCTGGTCACACCCAGTCAGGCAGTATCTCCACGTTTGGCAGTTTACACTGCCTGAAATCAGCTTTTAACAAGATGAGAGCATGAAGATATCCATCAGTGTCTCAACCATGGGATGAACTTACCAGTCTTGGTGTCATAGCCAACTCCTGCAAAGGTGATCTACTCACACACCAGCAAGCTGATGAAATTTATGACTAGCCAAGTGACTACACTAAGAAAAATCCTCCTGTTTGTTCTACCTTATGTAACACAGACTGGCAATAATGGTAACAGGCAGCGCTTTTCACTGCAGTGACTCTTTGAAAGCTTTGAAGTTGAATTTACATTTTATTTTGTTATAACAAAGTTCATGACATGAAGAGTGTGAACTACATTAGAGAAAGGATTATAGGCTCTTCAGACAGATAAAACATTGTGCAGTGTGGAAAAGCTGACTACTCTGTACACCAAAGCTTTTTGGACATTTTATTTCAGTTCTTTTTCTGAAATGCAAGGAAAAGATCACTATTAAATGACATTTTTCACTTTCATTTGAACACACTGAAACAAATCAAGACCAACCAAAAGACAAGTGCAAGAATTCAGTCAGATATGTTACGATTTGTTTCAAGACAGATTTAAGATAAAATGAATAGCACTTGATAGCCTGTAAGCCACATAAGCAGTGTATGATCCTCAAGTCTTTACTCCTTAACACATTATGTAGAATTACCTTAACAGAAGTTCTTTGGGTAGTTTTTTGTTAATAAGGGCTTCATCATTATTTGAGAAAACCTAGAAACAGAAAGAAAAAACATTGTTTAAAAAGACCAACAAGTAAAACAGCTTTTAGATTCTTTTTATCTTCTACTTAGGTGCTTAATCCTTTTAAATTACTGTTAATGTCAAGTTTTCCACATGCTAGTTGGTAATACTATAGAATTATTTCAATACACACAACAGTGCCACACCCACACATACACCTGTTCTTCCCTAGTGCTAAGATTTAACTGCACAAAAATTGTGGAGCAACTTAATAATCAAGCAGTCAGAAGCCACACTTACACCCCATAAATAAGTATTTTAGGCAATGGTGAAAATTCTAACAACTGCAAGATACAAACACATGCTAGTTGCACAGTCCTAAAATTGTGCCATGACAGAAAACAAACTGGATATTTTCCAGTTATTCAAATTCCTTCCTTCACTGTCTACAGTGTAAATACTTTGGCCCAGGTATGTGAATATGAATAAAATATAACAACCTAAAGATTTAAAGAATTCACTGCCACAGATGTGATGGAATCACCTCAAGAAATGCTGCAAGAAAAACTGGAAATACATCTCTCTCAGAACTTCATATTACTAACATATCTCCTCAGAAAAAGAAAGTGGAGAGACTGAAAGAAAATGCCCAAGGAAAAAAGCAGGCAATACTAAGACTATACAGGAAAACATTTCTGCAAAAGGAGACAAGGATTACAGTTAAATAGAAAAACTAAACAATGAAGATATTGACCAGACTTACAACCTATTGTAAATATTTAGGTTTCAGAAATTTTGCCAGAGGAACACAGCAATAAAAAAAAAACAGAAAGTGAACCAGAATTTAAGGAACCATAGTATAGACTAGAGGAAGTCAAAGTCACATGCAATCACTTCCATTGTAAACAGAAGACCTTTATGGAGTCCATTTGCTGTCCACATTACCAGAAACAAAAGCTAGAAAAAGAGATCCAAATAGCCTAGAGTTTTCTGAATGCTAAAAGGTAAATATGAAAACCACACAAAACAGAAACATGAAAAACATGGGAAGTAATCTCTCCCTTGTCCTTCACTAAGAATATGCTATTCCTGACTCAAGTATCAGGTGATTACCCCCTTGTCCATTCTACCATCAACACATCACATACTTGGTAACTATTTGCTTTGCTTCTTGGTCAAAAAAAAAAAAAAAAAAGGAAGCTCAACAAGAAGTGGTTCTGAAAAAACGTACATCAAACAAAGAATGAAAAAAGCTGAATATAAGCTTGGCACTGTCTTCATAAAAAAAAGGAAACAGCAGAAAGAACACATCTGGGAATTCTGAAAATATCCCCCTAAAAAATACTGTAAGATTAGAAAACACAAATGTCCTTCTGACTGCCATCAAGAACCTTTTTTTCTCTTCTGGTTATATCCTAGGCTGATTTCAGGTGTCACAACTTTGACACAACAGCGAAAGCCACTTTCTGCAATCACCATCTCTGTGCACAGTTATCCACATATACAAGAATGATAAAACTGACAGCTTTTAATAGGACCGAGTTTAATCAAACTTCCTTTTCATGCGACTGGAGCAGCACAATTATTCATAGACTGGTGACTGCAGATATTCAAAGTGTAAAACACCTACGCATGTATATTTCAATAGGACAATTCTAGTTCCTTCAGAAGAGACATTCTTGGCTTTCAGCAGTTCCACATGGCTGACCACAGGTTCAGCCTCGCTCTGGTGCTGCTTTACATCCAATACCCATGGCTGTCGGTATTTTCAGCCTCTAAACTGAAATACACTATGTACTTCAACATTTGTTTCAGAATGGTTTGGATTGGAAGGGACCTCACAGACCACCTAGTTCCAACCCCCTGCCATGGGCAGGGACACCTTCCACTGGATCAGGTTGCTCAAAGCCCCATCCAACCTGGCCTTGAACACTGGGCAACCTCTGACTGCCAGGGAGGGGGCGGCCACAGCTTCTCTGGGAAACCTGTGACAGGGTCTCACCGTCCTAACAGGAAAGTATTCCTTATACCTAATCTAAATCCACCCTCTTTCAGTTTGAAACTGTTACCTCTCATCCTATCACCACACTCCCTCCCCATCTTTCCTGTAGCCCCTTTAAGTACTGGAAGGCTGCAATAAGGTCTCCCCGGAGCCTTCTCTTCTCCAGGCTGAACAACCCCAACTCTCTCAGCCTGTCCTCACAGGGGAGGTGCTCCAGCCCCTGATCATCTTCGTGGCCTCCTCTGGACCCACTCAAGCAGGTCCGTGTCCTTCTTTCATTGGGGGCCCCAGAGCTGGAAACAGCACTGCAGGTGGAGTCTCTTGAGAGCAGAGTAGAGGAGAAAAATTCCCTCCCTTGACCTGCTGGCCACACTTCTCTTGGTGCAGCCCAGGATGCGATTGGATTTCTGAGCTATGAGAGCACATTGCTGACTCACAATCAATTTTCCATCCATTTATACTCCCAAGTCCTTCTCCTCAGGGCCACTCTCAATCCACTCATCACCCAGCCTATATTTGTGCTTGGGATTGACCCACGGGCAGGACCTTGTACTTTGCCTTGTTGAACTCCATGAGGTTTGCACGGTCTCACCTCTCTAGCCTGTCCAGGTCCCTCTGGATGGCACATCCCTTCCCTCCAGCGTGTCAACTGCACCACACAGCTTGGTGTCATCAGCAAACTTGCTGAGGGTGCACTCACTCCCACTGTCCATGTCACCAACAAAGATGTTAAATAATGCTGGTCCCAACACCGACCCCTAAGGAACGTCACTTGTCACTTCTCTCTACTCAAACATTGAGCTGTTGACTGTAACTCTTTGAGTGTGACCACCCAGCCAATTCCTCATCCACCAACTGGTCCATCCATCAAACCCATGTCTCTCCAGTCCAAAGACAGGTATCATGTGGGACAGTGTCAAATACTTTGCACTAGTCCAGGTAGGTGACATCAGTTGCTCTTCCCTTATCCACCAATACTCTAACCCCATTGCAGAAGGCTAACAAATTCATCAGGGATGATTTGCCCTTAGTGAATTCATGTTGGCTGTCACCAATCACCTTCTTAATTTCCATGTGCCCCAGCATGGTTTTCAGGAGGATCCACTCCATGATCTCACCAAGCACAGGGGTAAGACTGACTGGCCTGTATACCCTGGGTCTTCTTTATTTCCCTTTTTAAAAATTAGAGTTATGTTTCCCCTTTTCCAGTCAGCTGTTTTAGAACTGGTTGACTGCTTCTGAGCTTGGCAGTTCAGACATTTATAAATTTTCTGCACGCATTCCATTCTAATGTTATGCGCTACTCACTGTTTACACTTTATAGCTTGAAAGCAATAGTACATATTGGGATAGTTTTTTAGAACAGCAAAAACATAGGCCTAATTCTGTTTATTGCAGCACTCATTCAGGAGATACATATGCCATCCTCACAGAACTTAAGATCACTAAAGAGCAAAGTGGGGAAATGGCCTTGTGTATTACAGGTTTGAAAAAAAAAAATTGCAAAGAAGGAAGTTACCTCCATGAGAGCACACAAGGTCTGTGGTAAAACAGACAAGTGAACTTAGATCTCATTAATTCTGGTCCAGAATCTGAACATTCAGTATCACAGGCCACTAAAAATTCTCTTTTAATGTAATAATTCTACAGTTGCAGATAATTCCTTAAAAGTTATATACACTTCCCCGCTTATATTTGTAAGTATGTATTTTAAAATAAAGCTACTTTTCAGACTGCTACTAGTTTACATGTGTGCCATCTCTCTGTCAGTACAAAGGATGTTATCATCCAATCTTTCTTTACACCATAGATTCCCAGATGCAGAGTAACATGGAGATATATATATATATATATATATATATATATATGTCCATGTGAAGGTTACACAGCTTTTAAGTTAGTAGGGTATAAGCAAGTTACTATTTAATACAAACAGCTACAGTGCATGCTCAAGACTTGAGTATATCCAACTACTCATCAACTCTTACATTAAAAGGCCAAATTACTACAAAGCATAGCACAGATTTTTGGGAATAGTAAGTATTTTTCTACTGAGGTCAAGCTGCAAATCTAAACTCACAACCAAACTTGCAACTCTTATGGGAAAAGACCTTATAATCTCTGTACGTTTATGTGAGATACCTTTAGACTTTTAAGTCAAAGTTTAAACAAACTGTTTTGTATGCATGACAGCTGATATGACCAATATGGTTGCATTTAGGGATCACAGCTAAAATTGAAAAAAAAAATTAAAACGCAGTTTTTACTACTGAGTATGAGAAGTGTGCGACTTGCCCAGCCACAGTACCATGCCTGCTACACAAGTCACAGATGAGACTACAAAAAGATTCAAAGCTGAGTTCCCTCAAACAGTAAGTTTGATCTCTTCTTGTACGCATCAGCTACAGTTATCAAAGTATTATTCTTAGAGAGTAAGAATACTTAGAAAAATGAAAGCATGTCTTTAAAGTATTCTTTTACTCTGAAAAAAAGTATATTAGCCTCTAGAGTCATACTGCATTTGCATCTCAGAAGAGAGGGACTTCTTCAAAGGTTCTTCAATACTAGTTTTCCCCAAAATAAAGAACAGGCATGAGATGACTGGAGTACTCATCTTCTAGATGAGGATCTGTAACATGATTTTGAACGTGCACAAGCCGAGAGGAAAAAGAGAAGCTGCAAACAGCATAATACATTTATTCTTTGAACATTTCCTGATAATCTAAAACTTCCATTAATGAAATAAATACCCCGAGTACATTTATGTATCACCTCTCTGAAGTAACCAGTGCCAGCCTTTTTATTTTTACTTGATTTTTATCACATAACTTCTAGTTCTCTGTTTCTATTTATTAAAAAAAAAAACAAAACCCCACAACAAAAACAATCAGTCAAGGAAGTGTTCAACTGCTGTGAGAAATATTCTAATAATCTTTTCACATGATTTATTTTTCTTCAGTTACAGATAGCACTGACAATGACTTGCCTTCAAAATACCTGTATACAATAATACAAAATAACAAGAAACT